ACCCCGACCAGGGCTGGGACCAAACCGCAACTGACGTACGTGCCCTTGACTGGAATTGAACCCGTGACTCTTTGGTCCGCAGGCCAACGCTCTAACCGCTGAGCCAAACCGGCCAGGGCACTTTCATTAATTTATTGAACACTATTCTCTGAATCCCTGCTTTTCCCAGGGTGGGGATCCAATGCTGACCAAATTCCTGGAGTTCTTGCCCCAGGATAGCCTCCATTCTAGCAGGCAAGCCAAACCTACATAATTTAAAGTTAGGCTCTGTTAAGAAGAAAAGAGGCAGAATAATAAAATACTCAGTGAAGGAGGGGAGGTGGCTGGTCTGAACTGGCTGTGCAAGGGAGATTCCGGAGAAGATGACATCTGGCCTGAACCCGAGTCACCAGCACCAGGCCGTGGAATTGCTGAACCAGACCCCTGGAGACAGGGAACACGCGCAGAGCCCTAAGAGGACGCCCGTTGTGTCAGGACCCACGGAAACCTGGACAACAGTAAGAGGCAGAGTGGTGTCAGGTAAGGTCGACCTGGGTCCGGAAAGGGTTTCTGACAACACACACGCACCCTTCTAAAGCTGAGGTAGGTGGAAGGCTTAGGGACCAGGTCATGGAGGGCTTTTCGGCCACGGTGAAAGTCTGTGTTATTCCAAGTGTAATGGGAAACAATTTTCAATATGAAAGAAGCTTTTCCCATTTCACTTTTTGGCTTCGATGTCAACAACAAAAAGAAACTGAAAGGGGCGGGACTGGACGCAGGCAGAGCTGTAAGGAGGCAAAGGCAGAAGGCCACGTGCAGGGAGGTGGCTTGGAATTGGGTGGTGGTGGGACAAGTGGACAGATTTATGAGATTTCATGGTAGCAGAGGTTTGTAGGGTACAGTATTATTACCTAGAGTTACTTAGGAGAGTTCAACAAGGAGCTAGAGAGACCTTACTTATTTAAAAAAAAATTTTTTTTTCTTTATTGATTTTAGAGAGAGGAAGGGAGGAGAGATGGAAATATCGGTGAGAGAGAACATTGATTGGCTGCCTCCTGCATGCCCCCCACTGGGGATTTGGCCCACAACCTGGGCATGTGCCCTGACTGGGAATCCAACTCACGGCCTCTCGGTGCCTGGGTCAATGCTCAACCACTGAGCCAGGTGAGACCTGACTTCTTGAAGTGTTCAGGGCCAGTGAATCCTCAGGACCTTGTTCAAATGTAGGTTGTGATTCAGCAGGTCTGGTGTGTGTGTGGGTGCCTGAGGTTCTGCACTCCTAACAAGTGTCCAGGTAACACCAACACTTCAGGGGTGAGGACCACATCGACCGAGTGGCAAGGCTCCGGCACAGTGTGACCTAACATTTTCAGTTGTATTTCCCACTGGTTAGCATCTTATACATGCTGTGTGCTCCAGACCAGTGCTGTATCATGGCGGCTGCCACGCTGGACAGCACGGGTATGAAGAAACTTGTCATTATGGGGACGTGTGGTCAAGCATAGGAAATATAGTCACCAATATTGTAGTTATCGATGATGCCAGGTGGGCACTTGAAGGACAGGAGGGAACACATTGCAACCTATATGACTGTCTCTCCACTGTGCTATACACCTGAAACTAATATAGTGTGGAATGCAAACTGGGATTAAAAAATTTAAACAAAACAAAACAAAACCTTGCTATTATCACAGGAAGTTTTATTGGCCAGCGCTGCTCCAGACAGAAGAAACTATTTCTAGTGTCCTAGGCTTGCTGGTACCGCCTCTCCTCGTTCTGGTCTTGTTACAAGGAACACACGTATTGTCTCTACCTGCTGAAATCAAATGCATCTTTTAAGAACTACTTCAAGTCTACCTCTCCTATGGAACCTTTCCTGAAACTGAAACTGGGTATGCTACACATTTAGTTTTTCTCTGCGATATATTTCGACTGTATTTTGCCTACCTAGTATCCGAAGTATCTTAACATTTAACTCCCCTTTTCTGTTGGAGTAGGCGACGTGAGGGGAGGGCTATTTCTCATTCAATTTGTCCCTGTGGTTTAGGTGAACCTAACTCTACCCTTAGTCGGTCATTAGTATATAAGCCAGATGACAGCCAGAGACATCCATCCCAGGATATTTGCTGAAAAATGAGATAAAGGGGCCTTTTCCCACTGGGGTCACTAAGCAGGCTGGATGCAAATACAGGTCAGCGCACATCTTGCCGTCAAACATGCAGTCTTTGTCTGAGAACAACGCAGGAAAGCAAACCCAGACAGACCCTACATGACATCATCTCAGACTTGGGAACGGCAGTATTTCAAGTGTCCTCTATCTACGCTTGAACGTTTGTTACTGGGGACCATAAATTTCTACTTGTGCTGTGTAAAGCCAGTGTATGCTGGAGGCATCTCCTCCCTGAGGACGTCTCTCCGGGCACCTGTGCTCTGCTTCGATGCCGGCAGCAGCAAGGCCTTACGCGATCTCTCTGCTCCCCTCCGAACCCCCCTTTAACCACTGACACCCCCCCGCAACTGGTTTATCCCAGTTTCGGCATGGAAACACATGCCCACCTAAATTAAATTTTTCTTTACCAGTTTTAATATTCAAACTATTTTGACATGTTATTGATCAAACATTATGGAGCTGAAGAGAATTTCATTATCTGCTGATGCAACTTGTGCTAACATTTTTCTAGTTTTTTCTAGTTCGGCACATACAGACTACAAATCGATTCATCTCTTTACTGTCACCCAAAACAAGCCCAAAGTTCCTAGTGGGCATGTCATGTAGCATTCGCCTGGCTAACCCACACACACCTCTAGGGTATGTACCCTTCACCCCTGAGCTGGTCCGGCCGCGGGCTGCGGAGTCTTCCCACCCGCCCCACCTTCTGGATCCACGCACACAGGCCGTCTCAGCTTCATGTCCTGATTCATTCTGCTCTTCATCTTTGTCCTGGAATATGTGGACTCGTACCACAACCTGCTCCTCCTGACTCGGAAGGACCCACGGGCACTGCACCGTGGGGAAGGTTCCTACAGTTCCATCTTGGAGGTGACCCCAAAACCCAGACCAGAAGCCCACCACCATCCTTCTGCCACTTGCTTTCGAAAACTATCTTCTCACTGGACCTGGGCTAAAGGAGCAATTCATTCACAAAGGAACAGGCAGGCCCTCACACCCTACCCCTCAAAAGGTTTTAATATCTTTTATATACAAAACAGGACTGAAGAACTACACTAGAAGACCATGTACATGATAAGATTTATCTTTTATTAGAGATCTTATATTACATGTTCCCAAAAAGATATAAAATCTTCCAAGAGAAAATATCAAAACCTATTGATTCCAAGATAAGCAACATAATCAAAATGAAAGCAAAGACTTCCTTCCAGACAAAAGGATGTGAAAACATTTCGGCACAAGTACAACAAAGACATAGGAAGGTAATTACAATGTTTTACAATACACTTTACAGCCTTTTATTTTAGTCAGTATTTGTAGAAAACAAGGATGCTGAGTTCTCAAACACTGCAGTTAAAACCCCAAATTAAAATTTCCAAAAAAAAAAGATTGGAGAAAGTAACGAACTACATGGTTAACTGAACATCTGTGATAATAACTGTAGTGAAACCGAGGCACACAACAGGCTACCGAGATCACAACCAAAGTGTACGGTTTATAGTGTGTGCTGGAGACACTGAATGATTTAATCAGTTCTTGACCACGGCCCAAAGCAAAAGAATCCCCTCTTCATTTCCCTGATAATTTATTCTAAAGATAAAAAGCAGAAACTTGCTCGTTGAAGAGAATTTCTGCTTCACCTGTGAGCAGTCAGTGGCGACACACACCGAGTAAGACCTGACCGACTCGGGACAGGTCACCTCAAACAACAGAAGCGGCAAAACCACTGTTATTGCATCAAGATTTTTTTACTTCAACTGATCAGAATTCCCAGAACAATTAACCACAGAACACAGTGAACTCCCATAGGAAGGTTTTACATTTAAGATGCGATGAAAATACTGATCTTATTTCTGGAATTTGCTTCTGACAATCCTAAAATCTGCAGACGTCCACAAAAGGGAAGTGTCTGTTTCTTTTTTTAGTTGTTTTTTCCCCCCAAAATGAGGAAGAAAACTTACAGTACATGTTTATTGCATGAAATTACTCCCTTTTAAAATCTTTATCAACATCAGTATTGTTTCCTTACTTACTAAAGGCAAAAGAAGTTTATGAATTTAACATAACAATAATCTTAGGAGCTTCATCTTGATTAAAATCCAGAGGATAATCAGACTACACGGTGAAACAGAAAATAGATTTCAATCTCTCTAAAATGACATTGGAATAACAGGAGGTAAATGAAGTATAAAGTCAGATAGTGATCTATTCATTAACTTTCAAAAGTGTACATACTCAATCAACCCTTTCCATATGAAAACTGAATATTCTAAGTGTTGCTAATTTGCTTTTATTTTAATGTCAAGTTAACAATGATTCCGAGTAAAGTTTATCAAAAGTATTGCAATGGCACATGGGCTTAGAACTTCACTTTGAGGTTACTGCACACATACACAAATTTGGAATTCCTTGAACAGACATATTCTTTCATATGATAAATCACGATGAGCTACACAGAATTGGGTTTCCAAACAGGGTCTGTTTTGCAGCATTCTCTCCTCCACGTGGTTCACTCCTCTGAAATGGAAACGGCGTATGGACTTTGCACATGACAGATCCTTGCTTCAAGTTGCAGTCTTCTTGGCAGCAGCATAGTTTAATTAACACTATTTTTTCCCTTGTTCTGTTTTCTGAGATCTCAGTACATTCAAATAGTCAAAATGTTTAGAGTAATATCATCACAAATTTAATGAAACAGATCAGAATGTGGCCAGCATTGTCAGGCAAAAATTTCACAATTTATGAGTCATAGAAAGTAGCCCGCCCAATCCCCACCCCAACCTCCCCCTTCCCCAGATGGTAATATGGACACTAAAAGATTTAACAAGACTTATAAAAAAATAAGGCACATTTATTTTGATATGGTATTTTTAAAATAGAAAACCCCTTCTCAGAACATCTGTATTCAAATGAGCTGTGTAAAAAGACACCTTGTGGTACCTAGAACAGGTTATGGTACCCATGGAAATGCTTCTTCTGTTTTAGTGACAATGGAATAAATTGCACCTATCCCACCTTGTCAAGTAATGAAAATATGCCTCTTTTTCTACTACTGAATGATTCAAAATCTGGTATTTCTGGAAATACTTTACAAAGGGTAGGAAGGGAAGGGTCAGTGGTACATTAGAAAAGGGTGTGAAAACCAACTATATATATCATAAGGGTGGGTGGATTGCACTTTTCCACACATTTCAACACACAGAAATGTTCTAACGTGTATGAATGATCGCAACTATTTTGGCCATTAGCTTTTACCCACCAGCTTCTTATTCCATTTTGGTAAAAATGGGCATTTTTGTAAAATTAATGAAGAATCAGTAACATGAATACTCATAACAATCTCTTCACAACCCCCAACATAGATATAATTAGTTAGCATTTCACCTGAGTACAATCTGTTGAGAGGTTGTCTTCAGACATTTCTTCGTTTGTTGCATCAATTCATACCGGTGGTGGTAGTTGATGGAAAAAGTTAAAAACAAACAAACAAACTAAACTGGTTTATAGCATGGCTTTTTTTCTTCTTACTGTAATGGTTTAAAAAAAAAAAAAAAAATCACAGAACTCATGTCCTCACAGTAGCCAGAAGCTGAAATAATGTGCTTCTTTATTGCACGTTAAACCAAGATGTGTATAAAAGCCAACGCTTCCCAATCCAAATCTGAAAGCCAGGTTCACCTCAACTGGATTCGAAATGTGCTGATTTCCATGGGACTCAAGTTGATCTCGCTGACATTTCGGGCGTCTGGAGGTAAATGCATCAAGGATAATGACGACGGTATGAGACTTGCAACAGTAAACGTGTTAAAAAGTTTCTGTATCAATATCTAAAAAGCAAATGATAAAAATTCGCATATTTAGGTCAATGCTGAAGAAAGATTAGCAGTACAGCACTATAACCAATGAAAAATAGTATGAGACAGAGTAAAACAGTATGTCTGAAATTCCTTTTACGTAAAATAATGAGGGGAGGGAGATTCAATACACCTCTGCAGGCTTGAACCTACAGACCATCCCTGGGGAGACCAAGGAAAATGGTAACGAGGAGGGAGCAACCTACACTGCATTCCTTTTCCGTACTGCCTGAGAGGGAACTTAATCATGTGCAGGGGCCACTTTTTCAATAAAAAATAGGGACATCTATGGGCCAAAAGCTTTAAAAACATCCCATCCTCTTTCAGTCAGCACTTACCTCAACTGGTGGTTCTAAACACCTCTTCCCGTTCCAGCAGAGCTGAGCCAGGACCCAGGCCTGCCGCAAGGACGGTTCATCACGTGCCATTTATACGGTGGGGAGGTTGCATGAATATGTCTCTCTCGATTGTATAGCCCCTCAACACTCAAAGCCTTACTGTTCGAACACAAATGCTCACAACCAAGTATACTCAGATCAACAATAATGTAGACAGAGGTACAAATATGACAAAGAATAATAAAGATGTCAGTGCTTTTTTAGCACCGGCTCCACAAAGGGTGAGGTAAGAGAAATGGAGAAGGAAGCTTATCTATGTAGATTTAGCCCCCTACCACATATTCTCTTCTTTTCAGATCCCATGTACATGCTAATTTATAGAGTTTGAAACCGAACCTGTTGAGTCAGGTCCACAGAGCATGTGTGAGGTTTTGGAGAGGAGCTGGGCCCGCCGAGTTGCCTGGCGGGGCAGACCGGCCTGTGTACCAGACCCAGCCAGCTGTGTGCTCTGTTACAGCCTGCTCCAGACAGAAGCAGAAGGCTGAGGGTTTGTTTTCTCCCAAGGAGAGGCTTGATGAACGGTCACAAGATCAACTTGAAGAGAAATAAAAACGGCCGTCAGCGAGCAGTGGCCAGGCTGAGGACCTGTCTGGCCGTCACAGTGTGGACTCACATGCCAATCTAGCTTCATCAGGAGCTGGACCAGCCTGTTTCCATGGGGAACACTGATGGGAGCTGAGCACAGTTGCCTTGGAGGCAGTGGTTCATTGTCCCACTGGCCAGAGTGTCACTGTGCCTTGTCGCTTCCCTACTGCTACCCCAGTTCACTTCAGATATTATAAAACCTGTCCTGGCCACTGTAGGACTTAGGTTTGCCATCCCTGCACTAGATCATACATGAGTATATCTAAGAAAGGAGAAAATGAGGGGGTGAGGTAACTTGAAGATGCTTTGTAGGTCAGAACGGAAGGCTAAGGATGAATGAGGGCACTGTCTTCAGATATACACGCGTGATGCTAAAGGAGAGGAGACTGAGGACTGAGCAAGTGCTTTCTTAAGATCTGGAGACTTGAGCTAATTTGCAGCCGAGGGTAACAAATCAATCGAGGCAATGCAACATGATCAGGATTATTGCAGAAGTGAGGATTTCAAAGCACACGAACTTGACAAGCAAAATCCTTCCAGCTCACCTTTCCCTGGGTAGTGGAACAAAGCAGCCCGGTGTTTCTGCTGGAGAAGCGGCAATCGAACCCCTTCCTGTGGAGGATCAAGGCTGCCTCGTCGGAATGCTTGCCATCCACCTGCAAACGAGCAGAGCGCCAACATGCCACAGTGGTGGTAAAACAAACAGTCGCCACTGCACACTTCAGTCTTGATGTCAGCAGCCCCAAACCGCAAAGGCCCATTTTGTTTAGCAGTGAAGCCAGATAAATGCCACTCCCCTCAGGTTCCCGGTACACTGAACCTGCCCCCTCCCCGGAGGAGTCCGGTGGTATCATGTTCTGGGCTCCTCATGAAGTCATCTCATGCCCTTGCGTCCTCACAGTCCTTGAGGGCTTGGGTTTCCTTTTGTCCACATACTGCACACTGATTTATCAATTTTCTTAAAATAAAGCATTTCATTTTGATTTACTTTTAACATTTATCTCAGTTGAATAAAGTTATTGATCATCCTCACTAGGGGATAAGATTTTTCAATGTGTACCTGAATTTAGTCCTTATCTGGGCACTGAATGATGATGTATCATCCATGTTACAACTGAAACATGCTTCTTTATTGAATACTAATTTTTGCTAACTGCATTAACATTTTTAATCTTTAATGTATTGGTTCATTATTTTTATAGGAGACATTTATATTAGTTATGCTTATCACTTGGTAGGCCAACCACATTTATTAGCTTGATGTATCATTTAAATTCACATTACAGAAGCTATGCTTCCTGTGCAGGCAAAAAGAAAAATACAAACCACGACAAGTCAGCAACAGGGCTTGGCACAGGCACACCTCGTTTATGGCACTGGGCTTTACTGTGCTTTGCAGATGCTGGTTTTTACAAATTGAAGGTTTGTGGCTGCCCTGCGCTGAGCAAGTCTATTAATGTTATTTTCCAACAAACTTTGCTCACTTCATATCTGGGTTACATTTTGCTAATCCTTGCAATACTTCAAATTTTTCCATTATTATATTTGTTGTGGTAATCTGTGACCAGTGATCTTTGCTGTTTCCAAGGAGAGACCCTCCACCAACAGTAACATTATGACTCACTGCAGGCTCAGATATTGGTTAGCACTTTTTTGTGATAAAGTATTTTTTAATTAAGCTTTGTACATTTTTGAGACATAAGTTATTGTGCATTTAACAGACTAGAGTACAGTGAAAGCGTGATTTCTGTATGCCCTAGAAACCCAAAATTCCATGTGATTTGCTTTACTGTGATACTCACGTCACTGCGCTGCCCTGCAACCAACCCTCCACGTCCCCGAGGTGAACCCGCATGCACTACCTTCTTTAGGTAACATTTCTTGAGTACACTAAAGTAATACTGCCATGAGTGGTTCAGGTCTTTGTTTTCTTAATTGGGAATGTGTTTGTGATAATAAGCAAAATGAATTAAAACTCCTTGGAAAAATGAAGAAATGCAGTTACTCAAGGAGGGTCCATGATACACATAGCAAGTTTAAAGCACAGGATAAAAATTTCTAATAAAACTTCTATAAATTTCACATAGTTTCAAAATAACATGAAAACAGCACATATGAAAAATCCACCATTTATAATAAACACAAGTGCTCCAGGAGAACAACGAAGAGAACTCTGTCCCGTGCCAGTGTGAAGCCCTGGACCAGTCCTTCAACCTCCCTAAACACCAGTTTCTGCATCTCCAATAAAATGGAGCCCACGCAGGTCTCCTGCTTCATGGAGTCACCATATGGACTTACTCGCCGAAAATACCGTGTAGTCACACTGTGGGCTCCAGGAGAGGAAATAGATTTTTAAAGATCTGTCTTTACATTCATTGAAATATAACTAATATCTGGACTTCAGAAAAGAAGGGGAGGGTATGGGAAAAAAATTAACAAATTTTGAAACTGCGTCACGCACTGTGCTAGGTGAGCTACAAATTAACTGTCTTTGTAAAATAGTTCAGATCACATCTGCAGCTGAATCCCTGCAGGAAGGCTCGGATGTTCCAGAGTCGCACAGGGAAAATCCACTGCAGAACGTATTCGGGGGATAAACCAAGATGAAGCTCCTAGACTAAGCGGGGCCTGTGAGGCTTCTCCAGCAACTGGGTGGAGTGTGTGTGGGGTCTGCTCGAAGAACGAAGCCATCAGGCCTAGAGGAAGCTGAACCAGAGGCAAGGGTTGGTCCCACTAAGAACCATTCAGGTGACTGTATATCATGTAACCTCTGAAAATTCCAGGAACCAGGTTAGACATGTGAACGGCCCCTTTGAGGACCGAGCCAGCCACAGTGACTGTAACAGTAACTGCAGCTAACACTTACTGAACACTTGCTGTGCGCAGGGCTCTGTGCAGAACGCTTCTCCTGGGTTAACTCACTTCATCTGAAACTGTGAGGCCGTCGAGGTGGTAATACAAGTTTGCATTACTGTATTTAAACGTACAGGAGTACCCCTACCACAAAGCATTCTTTCTCATACTTAAATAGCAACGACCTCTGACTCTGCATTGCTCCTTCATGATCTTTTCCCACTCATGGTCGCTGGGCGTATCCTCCCACGAAGGTCCCATTATTACTGAGTAGACAGGAGAAAGAAGGCAGTGTATTTCCCCAACATTTTCCACAGTCACTGCCCACCATCAGGAGGCAGTATAAGGATCTGGGTCGGAAACTGAAGTCAGACGGGGAGCTGTGCCTCACAGCACCACCGTTTAGTGGCAGTGTGACCTCGAAATGTTACCTACCACCTCTAGGTCAGTCTCCTCTCCTATTAAGACGAGGTCCAGTATTGCTACCTTCGCAGTGTTGTTGGGAGAGTTAATTACCGCTCATACACAGCACTTGGCATATGCTTAGCACAGAGACAATGTTAGGTATAATGTTTTGAAAAATCTGAAGAATTATTAATAATTCCTCAGAATAATTCCTCAGGAACACAAATCAAATAGCATCAAGATTTACTTGGGCAATAAACTTCAACTTCCTCTAATTTGTAAAAAATGTGCCGGCGCGTTCACTTCATTATTAGTAACAATCCAACTGCTCGTGCAGCCATCACCATTGGGAGCCTTCCTGGGTCCCCGTGCTTCCTCCGTGCCTGCCCGGTTCTAGGTGCTTCACAGACAACTCATTCCATCCTCCGAACATCTCCGAGGTAGGTTCTATACTGCCGTGCTATGAACGAGAGCACTGGTACTTGGAGAATCAAGTGACTTGCTCCGTGTCACCCAGATGGCAAGCAGACAGGGTGCACTCAAACCCAGGGAGTCTAACTCCAAAGTCTGTGCATCTAACAGCTTCATTCTCCTGTCTACTCTAGCTGTGAATTGGTGCTCAAAGATGCCAGCTAGAAGGGAAAAAGGGTGGAACACTTTTTTTTTTAATCCTCACCCAAGGATACTTTTCTGTTTATCTTCAGATAGAGTGAGAGGGAGGGAGAGAGAGAGAAACATCGATGTGAGAGACACATTGACTGGCTGCCTCCCACACGACCCTGACCAGGGATGGGGACGAACTGCAACCAAGGTACGTGCCCTTGACCAAAATTGAACCCACAACTCATTGGTCCACAGGCTGACGCTCTAACCACTGAACCAAACCGGCCAGGGCTGAGAGGACCACTTTTGATGCAACATAACAAAAGGCTATAAACTAAAGATCACCCTCTGATTTGAGGCTGCTGACAGGGAAGATTTAATCCATAGACCCAGCAGGGCTAAAACCATGACTTGTCAAAACATATAGCAATTCAGAAACTAAACTTTAGAAATTGTAATTTCTAACCATCCACAGCCTACCTATCCATCCATTCATCCTATTTTAAACAGAATTTAAGACCATTCTGAAAATTACACATGCATGACAGTCTTTCCTAAGAATAAAGGCAAATATTCTTCTACTGATGTGGCTGAGAGCTCAAAACGTGAGTCATGCTATTCCTGGCTCACACAAAAGAAATTTAATTTGATTATTAGCAACGTGAGGTTCACAAATCAGTCAACTCCTGGAAACTACAGTAAACACACGTGTACACTGTTTTTCTGAGGATGAGGGGGCTATAAGTTTGACCCATTCTCCAGGAGGAACATGACCCCACCCTCCTCATAGGATGTGGAAGGTGTACACAGATTAAGGCATACCTCAACACCTGGCAGGGAAATTTCTCCAGCCCGCTCAGAGGCTTTGAAAATGCCTAACAACACGCATATTTCAGTGCATTCTGACAGCTGGAAAGGTTAGAAAATTGCACACTGTGTTATAAGTCCTGAAACAGGAAATAACCAGTAGAAATTCATTTTCCAGGGTACTCATTAAAATGTCCAATAACAGTTATCCTGTTTTGATCAACAAGATAACATGACAGAAAGGGGAAGGTGAACAGTAGTTCTTAGACATGTACAACAAAGAGAGTTTTCCCCACAATTTTCACCTTTCCAGAAGCTAGGGAGATCAATAAAGCACCAATCAATTCTTATAAGAATAAAGTAAAAACTTACAATTGCCTCTTATAACAAGGGGGTGGTGTTAAGTAAGTCAGGAGAAAAAATCCTATTCAATAGGTGGTGCTGATGTTGAAATGATTGGTTAACTATTTGCAAGAAACAGTTAAGCACAAATCAAAAGAAATTCCACAGAGAATAAAGACTTAGACATATATAGATGTGCACGTGTGTGTGGGTCTGTGTGTGTATAAAGGTAGTTATAGATACAAATAAATATGCATCTAAATAAAAATATAGCTGCACAAGAAAGCAATGGAAATAATCTGAAACAATAACTGAAACTTATTGTTCAAGGCAGACTAGCTCTGTGAAGCCAGCTGAACAGCTCAGTCAGCTCTTTCTTGTCCCTGGAATGCCCATAATTCTAGCCTGCAGAACTGTGACCTGTGATCCTTCCTCCCATGAGATTCTTCCAGCACCGTCTCTACCAGGACTTCTTCCTCCCGTGATTGTTACCTTTTCCTGATGACATGACTTTCCCATTTAGTGCACTTGAGCATGATCCTATTTTCCCCATTTTCAAACTCTTACAGAAACTACTTTTTAATATTTCAAGCTCCTGATAGTGTAAGAAAAGGGGGCGATAAAGAGAGAGAGTTGGAGGCCGGGCCTCCAGAACGAGAAGACCGCAGTTAGTTTGCAGACAGTGGCTGGCACGTGCTGGCTGCACGGCACGCTGCGAGGCAGAACTTCGAGAGATGATCTTCCCTTCTTCATCTGACTGCACGTATATGACAGATAATTAACTTTTCCAAAACATATATCAGTTAGAAAAGCAAGACAGGCTTATATAAAACGATACACTCTTTACCAATACAGAACAATTCCAGAAAAACTAGACTTTGTAACTCCTAAAATGTCAACTACTAACTACCCTGTGGGGCCGCATACAGCATTAAGATTCAGAAAGGGTCCTGATTCTACCATTCACTGTGGGGCAGCTTCACTCATTTAACCATCAATCATTCGCTCGCTCTAGCCCTTAGCTTCCCAATCTGACAGTTTTAAAGTATTACTAAGTCCTAAGCTCTCCACCCAGACCTATACAATCAGGATGTCAGAGATGGGGAAATCTGTAAGCCTCTCTTTCTAAAATGTCCCTAGTGCGATCTGGACACAGCGACTCAAGCCCTCAACTCCTTTCTCCATGAGGAGTAAGGGAGACCAACTGAGGGGTAGAACTGAAGAACCTTTACACAGAGGGGACGAGGAAGCAGGTACACCCTCATCATGCTGCTGCTGAAGGAAGTCAGGCAGGAACCCTCATCAATCCAAGGTAGTCCTCAGACAGATTTATCGTGGAAATACTTTGAGCTGGTGGTAAAGAAAATGCTTACTCCAATACCAGCCATGTAGACCTCTGGTCTTGCCTGGAACCTAATCTGTAGGTTAACATTACAGTTGATCCTTGAACAACATAGTTCTGAACTGCATGGATCCACTTATACATAGATGTTTTGCAGTTGACCCACTCAGTTCAACTGACCTGCACAGTTCATATCTGCAATGTTCAAGGATCAACTGGCAGTTGGGAATCTGCACATGTGGAGGGCTGATTTAGGTTACACACAGATTTTAGAATGCATGGGCAGCTGGCGCCCCCAACCCCTGCATTATTCAAGAGTCAACTGTATTTGTATTTCCATAGGAAAAATGCACTGCCTCTCCAAATGAACAATTCATTACTGTGTTTGGAGCTGACAGCACACAAGAACAGGAACACAATCCAAAATGCATAGGTCAGGCTTTTGCATTTATTGAGTTATTTGTGTTTTTCTTTTAGTATTGCCATGGAATTACCCTTGACATGTTTAAGTACCAAGCTTTCTTCAAATCAGTATCTACCATCAGCTTCCTTCAATGATTATCTTCCTATTATCAGAGGTTAGGGGACAGAGAACAATTCTTTAATGTGATTTTGAATGTACCAATCAACCCCCTTGGATTACTAGAGAGCATAAGCAACCATTTGAAATACGGGCTAAGAGTTAAAGGCCACGTGCCAGCAGAGTAGTAGTCATTAGGTAATAACATTTAGATCTTCATGCTTTTGGTCAAATATCTACATTGTTAAACTGTTTTCTATTCCCTCAGCTAAAACCCTCGTTTGCACCTGAGTTGGCATATCCTGTGGCAGCATCAGGACAGCATTATATGTTTACAAAGCACTTCTGTTTTCAAAGGGCTTTCCCAGCATTATTTCATTTGTTTCTCACAACAGACCTGAAGCAGGCATACCTGATATCAGTCCCATTTTATAAATGGCAGCTGAGTCAGCAGGTCGCCCAGCCAGCAGGCAGTGGAGGTGGCACACCTGTCCAAAGGTGAGACAACAATGGGGAGCCAGGTGGCCAGTGAGTGGAGGCCAGACTGCAGAGGGCCCGAATGCTCAGGGTGGAACCGATTTGGTAGGCAATGAGACTTCCATCTGGAAAGTGATAAGGTACTGTAGCCAGCAGCAGGACGGGTGAAGGCGCGGGAGATATCACTAAAAAGAGGTGATTGGAGAACAAGTGCCAGCCTTGGACTGTCGAGGATAATCCACTCACTCTAGTCAGCTGGAGCTGCTTCCAAAAACCACTCAAACAGCTCTGGGAAGCAGTCATCCACCCAGTAGGGAGAAAAAGTAGGTGCTAGGTGCCCCAGAAGTCCCCGGATCCTTTAGGCTGCTGACTTCCTCTACCATCCGTGCTCAGAAGTGGCAACATGAGGCCCTCCGCTCCATCCTTTCGTTCCCTGTAGCTCATGAATTAATGACAGGTTGCCTCAGGGAAGCTACCCGTCTCTGGTGTATTCTTCGCGTGAGTCAAAAAGTAGACCCGCAAAAACTACAGCAGAATCCTAGAAAGAACACTCACAAGATCCCCCACGTTGTTCCCGAGCCCCTGCTGTGCGCAGGCACTGTTCCAGGCACGAGGGCCCAGCGCAGAATCAAAGGACAGCCCAGCTGTCCATCCTGACCACGTGTTCGGCTTACAGGCCTTCACACCTGCTTGTTCCTCTGCCTGGACCACTGCACCCCCAGAAGTCTGCACTGAGTCTCTTATTTCCTGACCTCTTCCATATTTTGTTCTCATGATCACCGCGTCTGCGAGGCCTCCAGCCACCCTACTCAAATGTGCACTGCCCTCTAGAACAGCCATTCCTTCCTTTCCCCTCCATAGCGCCGATCACCATCTGATATATATATTTCTCTTGTTTTTTTCTTCTGTAATTATTTTTTCTCCTTCCACTAGAATCTAAGCTCCAGAACGGCAGGGGCTTTTGTCTGCTTTGTTCACGACCATGTCCCTAGTGCCTGCAGCAGGAACTGGCACCTGCCAGCAGGAGACAGCCGACACGTGCACTCCACGGTCAAACAGCCCAGGACGCGTGGAGACACGCGTGGAGGCCTCCAGCACTCGCTTGCCTTCTTCCCAGCCATACACATTCCCCACGCAGTCAGGCACACGTTCTCTATCTTGAGCCTATCGTTCTGTAAGCCCTAACTGTCCACATCTGTAGGCATTTATCCTTACTTTATTTGGTTTGCTTTAGTGGTTTGTTCTTAAACTAAATATTTTTCGCTTATGTTTTCTTCAGATATAAACATTCTATTCTTTTCATGTTCGGGCCATTTATTATAAGGTATTTCCCACAGAATCCATAACCACTCGCTATTTCCAGCTAAGTGTATGTCGATTCACAATGTCAGAACAGCTTCACAAAATACAAAATGTCAAATGTCTAATCTTTATTCTTTTCAAATGCGATTTCTGGCTTTAAAAGTAAGCATATATGTAAACTAAAGCAGTCTAACGAAATTAAAATTCCATACTTAATAAAACCTGCTCTTGTTCTTTCGCTAGTATACTTTTCTACTTCTCCTAAATAGTTGTTTTCTGAATGCAAAGGTTTGGGTTGCAATGATTTTCTGAAGATACAAATGTACAAAGCCTGATACAGAGTTAATTAAACGTTATGCGCTCTGCTTCTCTAGCCCCGTGAAACACTGGACAAGGAGAAAGAATGGAAAATGCCAGGACAGCCGATGTCAAGGCCTGGTTCTCCCACCTACAAATTATGTTACCTCAGGACAGCTTTACTTTTCTTATTCATAAAAAGAAGAAAGATGCTATTCCCTGACCTACTCACCACGCAGAGCTTTTCTGAGAATAGAAGAAAGCAGTATCAGGGTATGCTTTCCAGGGGTGCAGAGCCTTTTTTCTGCCAAGGGCCATTTGGATATTTATAACATCATTTGCAGGCCATACAAAATTATCAACTTAAAAATAGTCTACTATATTTGGTCGGGCTAATTTGGTGAGGTGTGTGATGTTAGCTGGTACTGATGTCACAGGCCTTATACTATATGGCCCGTGGGCTGGATGTTCCCTACTCCTGCTGAGTTTAAACTATAGAGCAGCAATTTTCAGCCTTTTTCATCTCATGGCACATAAAAAAAATTACTAAAATTCTGCAACACGCCAAAAATATATTGTATTTTTGGCCAATCTTACAATAAATAGGTATAATTCTGATTCATTCTCACCAGATGGCTATCGTTGTGTTAATGGGCTGTTGTCATTTTTTTTAATTTGTCAATCTAAGGGAAAAGAGGTCAGTGCCCCTGAGTAAATAGTAAGTTATTGCATGTTTCAAAAACTCTTCCAGCACACAGGTTGAAAATTGCTGCTATAGAGTAATACCCAAATGAGAGGTATAATAATTATGCCCAAAGGTTAAGCCCTCTTAGTCAATCCTTGAAGCATAGTAAAACTTATTTTTTCATCACTCCACCCCCTTATAACAGGTATATTACAAACAAAACATTTATGGATAGATTTTGGGATATACCTTTGATTGTATTGTCCTCAGATTAAGCAGATGAATGTCACAAGGCAAAGATGACAGTAACGGGGAGAATTCACCCAGCAGCTGAAGGGTGGGCACGGGGACCTTTTCTGTCATTGTAAAGACGGGGTGATTCAGGAAAGAAGAAGTTATGTGGCTAAGGAGGGAAGGATAACTGATCGACTTCTTTTCTTCTTCCTATCAAGAAAAAACAAAAATCCTTAAGAGCTACATACTTGCAGTTCTCACGATATGAATGAAATTACAAGATAGGATTTAAATAGAAAAGATATATAAATATATATATAAATACTTTGATTTTATTACATTTTAATAAATAACATTTGTAGAAAATGCAGAGCATATTATCAAGTTCAGTTCTAAGCAACACAAGAAAATGAATAGCGTCCACTTAACTCATGTTAGAAATCTCTTTTCCGTTGCTTTAATACTAAAAATCCTGACAGTATTTTCCACAAACATTTTAGGACAAGGTATAACTTCTTACAGAAACTTTTTCTCAACCTACTACGAAGCTCTTCAGCAGATGGTTTGGATGTTCACATATCTTGCATGTCATCAAATGTTATCTCTTTTCCCTCCAGTTTTACCCATCATATTCTCATGATTTCATTTCTACACTTAACTCGACCAAAAGTCATGTGTTGATCCAAAGCTATGTTTCATAAACGTTACTGAGTGATAGGATTTAAAAACTCTCAAAATAAATGAGGTTTTTAAATAACACAGATGGTTTATCTAGATCATCTGTCTTCTTTAAAGTGGGTAAATCACTGTCAAGTGCTTCACTCTACTTTATTCCCCAAACAGGAACTGTTATACATGTTATACAACAGTTATCACACATTTATATCATACACAATTATTCAGTATAATTTAAAAGTACTTCAGTCTTTGCTATGGTGTATACTGGGAGACAAGCATTTCAGCATGTTCTAACATTGAATAAGTCTGTCAGGGCTGGGGACATACATATGGTGGATGACACACAATTAATGAAATCAGTGATGAAGTGGAACCCTAGCCAATGATGCCTAAGGTATAAAAGTAGACAGAAAAGCACTAAGAAGATAAAATAATTTATGTAGAAAGGTATTTTGTTCACCAGTGACATTTGAGGTAAATTAAATCTTGTATCTTATTTTTTAAAACGAGTATTGCACTGATATCTTCTGATGTTGCATCCTTTGTGCAAATAAAAGGCTTGGCTACTTATCTGTGTGACAAGATAGGATTTATAGAAGACTCAGGATGTCAGATTAGCGGAACAGAGGGTGTTAGTGAAGAGTGACAAGCATCTTGCTGGTGAAACCAGATGTCATTACAATTTAGACCAGGGCGAGAGAAGGGAAAAAGTGAAGGCAGCAGAGGGACATGCAATAGTCAGATACTGACCGAAAAGGTGAGGTCTGAAAGAGTTGTAAAAATATGCATCCATTCCACATTTTTAAAGGAAAGATTAAATAAAGCATATAAAATAATATTCTCCAAAAATATTGAAAATTAATGCAGCTTGTAGAAAACCATGACTAGAGAGGGAACATTTTCAACAAGACACTTTAAATGTAGTTCAAGATCAAAGAACTTCCTAGTCTAGGTCAGGATTGCTGACAAAATCACTTTTGAGTAACAGAGATAAAAGATTCTGACAGAAAGGAAAACACCTGCCTTATCAGATTCGGGAGGCATTAAGTCCATTCTAGGTCAAGATACATTTAGAAAAACCTCTCTGGCTTTGTTCTATGCTCTTGGGAAAATCCCTGGACACCGTCGTGAGAAGGTGGGGTACTTCTTGACCGATGATCGGTATCTTAGAAGCAGTAATGTGCATATTTACCTTCCTCCAGATCCAAACCAGTTCACCTGACTCAGTGTTTCCCCCAAAGGATCATACATCAGAATGGCCTGGGGAGATCTAGAAAGCATAGATCCCTGGGTGGGGGCGGGGCACTGGAAAGGTGAAGCTTAAATGCCACCCCTTCAGGGGAAGCTCAGGTAGTCAGTCCCACACTGCTCTGTGCCGAGAGCTGCCACGCAGACACTCTTCCAGCCTTCTAGAAGAAACAGAATGCCCTTCGGAATCAAAAGTATAAATAAGCCTTACCCTTTTAACTAGTCTTGGATTTACAAAGCAGGATTCAGATGCAAAGACATGTTCATGGAAAGTCTCGTCAAAGGAAACAACGTCACGAATCTAAGTACTCCGAGAATTCAGGAATGTCCCGTTTACAGGTCTCAGTGAGCTCAGGAAGGGAGGGTTACAGAAGACGGGAGGTTCGGTGCCACAACAACGCCAGGGCTAGAAGCTGGCGGGGGGCCGTCTCCCAGGAGGCCCCACCGTTCACACACTTTCTTAGCACCTTTACAGCAGCAGGGGCTCAACCAGATATTAACTGATGAACTACCACTATTTTGAATAATCTCCTAGACAGGTAATCTTTTAACCATAATCCTCATGATGAACCAAAGTTTATGAAACACGTTTAGGTGTTTGAGCTAGAAATTAATTCTGCAGCCTTGTATGTAGTAACATACTACTATACACATTACTTGGTTTCTTGTTGGTGGGAGGCTTCAGACTGTACAAGTCTAGTTCTCTCCTTGTGGCATGCATGCCATTAAAATATTTTACAGCACATTCTGATCCAAACCACAATGGAAGCTGAGATCTTCTCCTTTGGGCTCCAGCTCTTATATCATCATAAGTCAAACTTCTTGCCGGGCTCCTTGGTCCCCTTCATTAAGCCCACTAGGGTTATCTGATTCCTAATCATCAAAGGCTTCCACTTCACTTACATCAAAACTTGTTCAATTACAGAAGCTAGTGAGAGATCATTTTTTAGTCACCTTTGTTTATTATTCAGTATGACGTGACCTGGTGAGAACTTGATAATGTTTGTTGAACTTCATCTATTAACTTAACAAGCAAATGCAATATAAATGAATGAGAGAAAAATATGGTGGGGATGTGGGGAAGGATGGAGTAAAAAGAAGGAGGAAAAAAGAACAATAAAAATATTGAATATAAAGATTTAGAAATAAATATCATGTGCCACAGAGCTGAAGCCTGGTAGTTTGTGGGCCTAAGCTGCCTACAGAAATGTTTTGGTAGGTCTGCATGGTATTAAAAAGTTGTTCGTTTATCAAGCAACTTTCAATCATAGAAAAAAAAAAATCCAGGAGATTTCACATTAAAATCATCAATAATAATAATAACAAAAACTCCCCAAATTGTTAATTTTTTTTTTTACCTAAAACACTGGAAATTCAAGTCACTGGGCTTGCACTCTCCCACGTGGAAACACTCAGCTGGCGCTCAGGTGGGCTGTGTGATGTTCCCACGATGCTCTGCTCACCGAGCGGAAGCACTCACCTGAAACCTGACCACCTCCCTCCTGCCATCACTCTCCTGAGCCCTGCAGGCATCTGAGTTTTTCATCTGATCTCTCCTGACCTCCGTTCCTTCTACGTAAGGACTGATACCCAAAGGTAAAATGATGTGACTGTAGCACCCCCACCCTTCTACTACTTCTAAGTCCAGCTCAGTGCCCCCTCGACTGTACCAGTCGCCAATAGGACGATGGTGGGAGTAAGAGTCAAAGAAACAAATTGTAAAGGGTCAATGCCAAAGACACAATTCCTGTTTCATTTCTGCTGACCACTGAGTATCATTACCATGGGTGACGGTCAACCTCACCTAGCCACCGGCCTCGCTGGGCATCTATACCTCGTCCCAGTCCTCCTCTCACCACCTGTCTGCAGAGCACTGGGGAACAGGACGTACTTCCACCCGGTCATCTACTCCAGCGAGGCTCGGGCAGGCTAAAGGCTCCCACGTCGGCGCCTTCCCGCCCAGTGTCCCCCACGTCGGCGCCTTCCTGCCCAGTGTCCCCCACGTCGGCGCCTTCCCGCCCAGTGTCCCCCACCTCGGCGCCTTCCCGCCCAGTGTCACCCACGTTGGCGCCTTTGCGCCCAGTGTCACCCCACTTCAGTGCCTTCCCGCCAGTGTCACCCCACTTCAGTGCCTTCCCGCCAGTGTCACCCTCCTCAGTTTCTACCGTCAACATTTTAGACTTTAAGGCCTGAATTGAAAATAAAATCACTGTCTAGAAAATTTAAGTTATAGTACATTTAATCTTTCTTTATCTAATGTCTCTTTAATCAATTTCACTAGAAATTAAAATGTATTTTCTCTTCTCTACTTCATTTTTTATTTAAAAGAAACTATTGATTTAAGCCCAAGAATCTATAGCTCAGCAAAAGAAAAACACAGGATTACAAAAACATTGGATCAAATTTAAATCAATTAGTCTCCAAGGGGTTTTGAATGGGAATAAACAAATTATTTAACTTTTAAGTGAAAGCTTTATAGATACGACATGAAAATTCTTACTGCCATAGTTAACAGTCTTGCAAATTACTGTCTATATAGAATGAAAAATCATAAAAGCCAGAAACATTTTCAGGAGAAAAAAAGAGTAGCTGCCAGCACTCCGACAGATTTTCTATGTAGTTTTGGTCCTAAAACTAAGCTATCTTGTCAGTAATTGATTTAAACCACGAGTCCCAAGAACTGGTATAAATTTTGACATCCAAAATGGATATGAAAATCTCTTTCCTCAAACATTTTAGATATTGGAAGAATTCTTTGCTTTAATTAGCTGCTGTCATTTCATTCGATTAACTAGTATTTTACTGATAGAATGGTGACCGCAGGCAGCGAGGCCCTGTGGGCACATGAGGATGGAGGAGACCAGCCCCTGGAGCCCAGTACAGGGAACAGAACGTGCTGCAGAGGACAAGAAGCGAGCAGCAGCTGCGGACAGGGTGGCGAGGTGTATGCACTCGGTGTTCATTCACAGGAGCACTGGGTGCGTCCTCTGCTGGGAACAGCCTAGAGGTACAGAGACATAGCCCCTACGTTCAGGGAGTTTACTGTCTAAAGGGAAAGACAGACAACGATCCAATAATGACATACACACATGGAGACACGCCCGGATCTGAGGGAGCACAGAAGGGGATTTGACCTGTTCAAGTGGAAGCAGCTGACAAAGGGAGCTCTGATCTGAGGTAGAACTGGGAGTCCCCTGGGCAAAGAGGATGAAAAGCACGTGCACAGGTGCTGCGGGGAGGGTGCATGGGAAGTACTGAGGACCGAAGGACAGCAGTGAGCCCAGAGCAGAAGCAGTGAGAACCATGCTGAACGAGGAGGGGGCCAGGCGGGGCCCACAGCGTGAGGGGCTCAGTAGGCTATGGTTAGGTTTCGGCTTTTATACTGAGAGCATGAGAAGACATCAGCGGGATAAGCAGGTGAGCAATGAGGTTAGATGTGGTTCTAAAAAACAAAAACACTCTGCTTCCTGGATTAAGAAAACAAAAGGCAGCAAGGAGAGCAGAGGGATGCATAGGCTAGATCCAGGAAACGCATGCTAGTTGAGGCCAGGGTGGTCGAAGTAAACTGGTTCACAGATTTGAGATATTTAAGCAATGAGAGAGCCAAGCACTGGTGATCACTGCTTGAGCACAAGCTGGTGAGGGAGAAGCGTCCATGAGAGATGACTCTATGAGATGCGGGCTCATCACCATGAGAGGGAGGGACACTGAGAAGGGTCAGGTTTGGGGGGAAGGGAGACCATGACAGTGATTTTCAATATGTTGAGTTTGAGGTGCCGTAGAAATGTAGAAAGACATACCGGAAGCAACTAGACAGATGGAATATGTATTTGTGGGTTCCATCTGCCACAGGTGGTCACCAAAGCCAGGGAGTAGGAGAGATGGCAGGGGGAGAACATATAAACAGAAAGGGAGGCCTGGAGCCAAGCCTTGAGCGCTCTGATTAGGTCTTGAGAGCGAAGGAACCATAAGAGACATGGAGCAAGAACCGCCAAGAGGAAGGAAGCAAACCTCCTGAGTGTGGCCCCACGGAAGCCCTGGCGAGGCAGTGTTTTAAGAAGTAACAATGGTCAGTGTCAGTGCTGCTGAAAGGTGAAGTGAGTAGACAACTGAAAACATTTGCTGCTTTAGTGACACTGGCAAGAGTGTACGATGGAGGCTAAGGCCAGATTGAAATAAATTATGAGTGGGAAGTGATGAAATAAACTCAGTTTATAAACTCTGGCTCAACAGGGTAGGAAAGACAGGACAGTGGTGCAAGGGAGCTGGAAATGAGAGTCTGAGTGAGGGCTGTTTTCTATTTTAAGTTTAGTGGGAGAAAATGAGGAGTGTTTAAAAGCGAACAGAAAGGATTTGCTAAGAAGGACAGGGGAGGTAAGGAGGACAACACCTAGTAACAGGATCCTGAGGGAGGAGATGAGGCCAAGTTCCCAGGACAAGCAGAGGGACTGGCCTATGATGGAAGGAAGGTAAACGTCTCTACTGTAACATGGGCAGAAAGAAAGGGTGGAAGTTGATGCTTGATATCTAGAATTGTGAGCACTATCGAAAGGCTGTTCTCTCTACAAAGTAGACAGTGAGGTCACTGTTGAAATTGTAGAAAAGATTTGAAATGGTGAATGCAGAAAGGGGAAGAGGAGTAAGAGAAAAAGGGCCATGTCAAGGGCACTGGAGCTGGAAAACAGTAATTTATGAAGGACTCTGAGGTACTTTATTGCCACATGAAGAAATGTATTGTCAGATTGGTTCATGTCCAATAGAACTTTGGCCAGATGTAAAATGCAAGATTTTTGCTTTGAAGAATGAAAACTGAACAAGAAGACAGACAAGTAAATCCATTTTTAATTGATGAGTCTAGGACTAAAACAAGTACGCAAAGGTTTCAAATCCATTTTACCAATCAAACTTAATCTCCTAAATATGTTACTAAGCTCTATTCTGTAACTCAACTCTTTCAAAATAATTTCACCCAAACTGATTTCTTAACCTTACTTTAAATCTACATAAGAAAAAATTTAAATGACCTACATGCAAATCTTACACTACGTGTGTGTGTGTACATAAAAATGAAGTTCTCTTTCTTTTGAATATAGACAAAATCAATTATAAACATATCTCTATACTGAAAATTATAAAAAATAAAAAAGTAGAAAGTCGTAACTTCAAATTATGGGTGAGAAGTTATTTTTTTCCCTACCATATTCACGACAGTTCTTTTTTCTAGTAGTATTCGAAATAAATTAGCTGTAATCTTGTTGTCATGGACACCTTGCTCAAGGCCACGGTTATCATCTTGCATGAGTCTTCGATCCATGATAACTTCAATCTGACCTATGAAACAAACAAAAAACCTGGTCAGGGTTATTTACTACAAACATCCAATGAGGATCACGTAAGCACAGGCATGGTCTTGACTGAAGTTTCTCCTCTGGTCATGGAGACAGATCTATACAACCCCACAGTACCATGGGCTTTTTCTTGATAATGACTTAAGGTAGCCAATATAAATTCATGAAACATGATTACATCTCTACTTTTCTTCATTAATGTCTAGTAAAATCTAATAAGAAATTTAAAAACAGATCAAAATTAAAACTTTTAAAAAAGAATTAATCTAAAATTCAAAAATTAATCTAAAGAGTAAATTAAGCCTCTAAAATATTTGATGTCAGCATTTGGAATATAAAAATGTTCATGAGGTTCATTATGAAATGCACACCACATGTAGATAAATAAAACACATACAGATGGGTAGGATCTAACTAGGACTTGAAATGTGGTTTAGGTTACTTGCCATGCTGTGATTCTCTGAAGAAGCCCTGGGACTGTAACTCCTACCCCAAACCCCGTTCCCTCACTGAGATCATAGCAGGGGCATCACCACTGTCCTGTCCCCTCTAGCTCAGAAAGGGCTGTACGCGGTTCCTTCATTCGCTGTGCGACAGTCCGCATTTCCTCTCATTTCAACTGTAAGCTAATGGTTATGAAGTTATAAACTGAAAAAACACCACCAAAAAGAAATCCAGTCGTATTTATATATTTGAGATTATACTTTAAAAACTCCTAAAATTTTTATATACGTATTAAAAAATACATGGATAGTCATCCACCGATTCATTCTTATTTTGTACTTATGAAATGATCATGCAGCATACAAGAGCAGTACATAAAATATTTTAATAGCTATTACTCTCCCAGAGTCAAATCGACTCTTCAGTTTCTTTCAGTTTGGGTGTGCAGTACATGAAGTGACCAGCAGGATCAGACTGTTCGTTGTGACCACCTCCACATTTCAGAAGGTGACTGTCTAGAACTTGCTCCGCAGGCACAAGGACTAATCGTCTCCATGCCTATGAGGACAATCAGAGTTGATCACTTCACACCCAAAGAGTACATCAGTCTCTTGGCAATTACTAACTCTTCTCTCTGCCTCGAAATGTCAGTCCATACAGTAAGTGACACTCATCATTTGCTGGACTGGACTCAAACTGGTTTTCTGTCTGTAGCTATTCAAACTCTAGGGTACTGGGGTATGTACGGCAGGGGCAGAGAAGCTTTACTTTCCAGCTCACGTTTACCAGAGAAGTGAGACAAGACTGCTTGGTTCAGGGCAGCTTGAGTCCCAGGGACTCATCCCCAGTGAGAGCCCACCCTGGAGAATTTAAAGCAGGGTTTAAAAATGGGTGGGTCAAGAGTCACATCTGGCGCAAAAATGTTTCATGTTCTAATATTGAAAAAATTAAGTCAACATTTACAGATTGGGCAATTTCACATAAAATTCCAGATTTCTGGGCTCTTCAAAAATGAAAACACATGGCAACACTCGGCCCTTTCCCCATGGAGACAATGTATTGGCTCTAAGCAGTGGCCACCCCACCGTACACAGAGAACGTGCTCTCCAGTTTGCTTAAGTCCCACCACTCCCGACCCAATCCCCGATGTGAGGCCATTATTGTTCTTATAACTGCACTGGTGTCTTTATGGCATGATCACATAATTTTGCCTAATAAAGGCCACAAAGAAAAATGAAAAGTCGTATGTGTGTGTGAGTGGAAGCACAGAGTGTATGCATATGCCTGAGAAAGGTGGTTTTGGGTCAAAGGATATGCCAGGCATCTGTACTCATTTATTTGCCTGGATCCTTAAGACACTTATCTTAGCAACTCTGTGCATGTAATGAAGGAAGAGCAATTAAGGACCTGTAAATGATAATTAAAAATATGTATCCTAAAACATAAAAGCCTCCCAAAAGAAACTTTTCCAAAAATTAATAAGTATCTCCTACCTATTTTCTTTCTCCATCTCATTCCCTTCTTTGAAATTTCCAAAGTTGAATCTGTCACCTCTTAATCCCCCATCTGTATCATCTCTACTCCCTGTTTTCTTTTGGTTGGTGGTGCAGAAGAATGTGCAGAAGAATGTCCTTCGGAGAAGGACACAAGTGTGAATTGTAACCTCCCACCTTTGGAAACTGAAGTTATCTAAACTTTCTCAGGAGTCTGAAGTTTCTGCATCTGCTTAATCACAACAATAGTCCATTCTGCAAACAATGGGCTATCAGAAGTAAATTATCTTGAAAAACAATTAGTTTCACAGATTTTTAGATCCCTGTTCTTCACTGGAGTGAGGAAATCCATCATTTTATGTTGTTCTCACAAAACCCCAAATTAACTAAACTAATAGTCTGGTTCTCAAAAGAAAGCTGGTGCCAGAAGATGAAAATTAATACATGTGATCAACAGAAAAATTATACACTTGGACCTGAAACTTATAAGAACAAAAAAGAATCTAAAAGATACGTACCACTTTCCAAACTTGATACACCTAGAGACTGAGCAGAGAGCAAGGTCAGGCGATGCTCGGCATCCTGGACATACGCCATTGTGGTCATTGGATACACATTTGCTTGGAGAGGCAATTTGCTCATTGTCATTCTAGGTTGAATCTATAAGACCATACAATTCTCTTTTTAAAAAAAAATCAAGTGATATTTACATATACTTTAAAAAATTTGTATTGACTACAGATGACTTTTCTTCCAAAGAGAAAAAGAAATAGCTTCCTTTCTTGTTCAAGGTTAGAGCTAATTTAAAACTTGAAACACTCTTTAAAACAATATGAAAAAAATCAAGAGGATCTCAGAAAACAATTTTTAAGAGAGGCAGAACTTGTCCAGATTTTTAAAATAAGCATGTCTATTTAAATTCAGAATAAATACCCTTAACAAAAGTCTTCTAGCTCTCCAATATTTGCATAAAAAATTATAAAGGTATTAAGTATTCATTTCTCATCTAAATCTAACACACTGCTTTTGTAATGAATGCTAAGCATAATAGCTCTTTATCCCCTTCCAAGAAATATCTCAATTCTTCTTCTAAAATAAGTTTTAATAAATACCCCATATTTCCCCATCAAATCCTCTAACATATTACATTATAATAAGCAAATGCATATTTATATTTATAAACTATTCAATGCATTCTCTTCTTGTTTAGTTTCAATGTAGATAGTTCCAAATTCCAATTTTTCTTGGTCTAGCATCTGAATGCATGAAATACAACTCTAACTTCAGTTTCTGAGAGAGAAGGACAATGCACTAAGCTAGTCTGGGACAAGGAGACTCATTCAAACATCAGGAGCAGACATCAGAGACTCTGTTATTGGGAATCTGATTACATAAAAATGCCATCTCTTCTATTAAACTCAGAAAAGTTTGACATGAAACTCAAGCAAAGAAGAAGTTAACATAATAGTTAACATGTATTGAGTACCCATTAATGCGAGGCACAGTACTGGGAATGTCACAGATAAGATCTTTAATCTTCACAACTCTGCAATACGTCTTTCAACCTACTAGCTGTACCGAGTAGTGCCCCCACATGTTCATGTTCACCCAGGACCCACGATGTGATTTTATTTTGAAATAGGTCCCTCTGATGTAATCAAGTTTGCTAGATTAGGGTGGGACTGGTATCCTTGCAAGAAGAGGAAAATTAGGACACAGAAGGACACATACAGAGACACAAGGAGACAGCATGTGACAGTGGAGGCACAGACTGAAGTGACATGTCTACAAGACAGGGAGTGCCAAGGGTGGCCTGAATCTGTCAGAAGAGGCACAGAGGGCTCTTTCCCTAGAGCCTACGGTGGGAGTGTGGCCCTGCCGACACCTGGATTTTGGACTTCTAGTGTCAAGAACTGTGAGGGAATAAGTTTATGTTGTTTTAAGCCACCCAGCTTGTGGTCATTTTTATCACAGTTCCAACAAATTAATAAGCTAGTGAAGAAACAACTTTAAAGTGTTAAAAAAAAAAAAAAAACCTAGCTTGAATGAATTCTCCATTTCTCCTTTCCCATCCTGATCTTCCATTCCAATGAACTCATACACTAATAAAAAGGACATTTAAAACTCACAACTGTGTGGCTGTGTCCCCCACCCCCACCTGTAGGTCTAGATCTCTAGTCTTGCCCAAGTACCACTCTTTCCAAAGCTTAATAAAGGGCCTATTTTAAAAGCAGAAATATTTAGATTATAAACTTAAAAATAATGTTTTCCTATTTATTCAAATGCTCAATCCTTAAAAAGAAAATTCACATTTTTTTATTCATTTTTACTAAGTTTTCTTCATTCATGTACACACCCACACGTACAAATAAGTGCTTCTGGAAAATTTTAAGAAAAATCTTTCTTTTGTATACAAAGAAAATGAATCACCAAAAAGTAGGGTCTTCATTTGAAAACCAAACAGCTGTAGTAAAATTAACATGTTAATTCAAAATGTATGTTGCAATTTTTATGCTTTAGAAAAGGTTTAAATTTAACTTTTGTAGGAAATTGTAGAAGAGAAAATTATCACAATTCTGTCCACTCATCCCAGTTGAAAATCAGACAAAATAAAAGCATTTGTTGTGAAATTATTTCTATTCATAGCCAGAAATTTCAAAAATGCTCATGTCTCAAAAACATGCTAATGTTTTTAATAGTATTATTTCAAAGATATGTCACACACACACTCTGAATAGAAAGATTTAGGTACTAATCAAAAGAGCTTTATTAAATTAAAGAACAGACAATCTTAAATTTTTTTTTTTATTCTTTTTTTTTTAATCCTCATCTGAGGACATTTTTCCATTTTTTGTACAGATAGAGTGGGAGGGAGAGAGAGGAAGAGAGAGAGAGGGAAACATCGATGTGAAAGGGACACATCGAGTGGCTGCCACCCGCACGACCAACCAGGGCCGGGGACAAACTGCAACCGAGGTACATGCCCTTAGCGGGAACCGAACCCGGTCTCTCCGGACCGCAGGTGGACGCTCTAACCGCTGAGCCAAACCGGCCAGGGCTCAATCTGAAATTTTTTTATGAATCAATTTTCTCATCACTATTTCAAAAAATGTTTTTATTAAATACATATATACTTACATTTCTAAGCAGATATGTTTGTATTTGTATGTCTATGTAAATATATGTATGTGGATAAAGGTACCCCCACCCCAATAGAGGGGAATTTTAAAAGAGCCATTATTAGATTATACACTTAAAAATATATAGCGAATAAGCTAAATATGCATTGGCTAATTCCTTAAGGGAAAAAAAGATATAATCTATCAATTCCTAACTATGTTCCTTTCTTATTAGATAATTCATATATACTTTGGAACCAATGTATTTAACATGCATAAATTCTTACAAGCAGACAATCTACAAAATACTCTACCAGATATTTGTTATAATTTTGGAAATCTGGTTAATACATAATCTATAAGTATCTGTTAAAATTCAGTTTTACTTCAGAAATAATTTGCTATCTTAAGCATATTTTTTAAAAGATCCAAAATTAACTGGCCCATTACCATGTATATGTTATGTTATGTTATGTTATGTTATGTTATGTTATGTTATGTTATGTTATGTTATATTATGTTATGCACTAACATAACCATTACTTACACATTTTAAAGGAAAATTACCTGGTATCCATTCAGGTCTGTATAAAATCTATTTTGGCTGTTTATGCTAGAAGAAATTCTCATTGCAATCTCACGGTTATGTTCTTTTCGGATGTCCACAATATTGGAAATCTCCACAGACTGTCCTTCTATTCCTAAATTTAAAGAATATATACAATAGAAGGAAATTAATTGCCCACTTTTCTTAAATATATTACCCAGAACTCCTTCTAAAGTTACATATATTTTCCTGTTTTCTATCTCCTATCTTTACCATCTCTTATATGCTAAATAGTGTCACAATTCACACCTTTTCTTTTTTTTTAAATTATCAGATGGCAGATAACATTTATTCAGAGGCACATATAACTTAACATAAGGATGAAGAGGTTGGTGGTGATAAATGCAGATGAAATATAGCATGCAAATGCTTCTCCAATGAGTTCTAGAGGGAAAGAGGACATTAAATGAGAAAAGGTCAGCCCCACTGCAGGCCAGTCCGCTCTCGTCTGCACCACATTCCCCAGCAGAGCCATTCGACCCTACTTCTTCACCACTGTCTCCTTACATGCCGGAAATTATGAGCAGTGAAATTTATACTCTGTTGGTTCAAGAGCCAGTGTATTATTGCCCATGATCACATCTAGGAAGAGACAGGAGATCCAATGAGATGATTTACGGTTGAAACTGATATTACCATATTACTACTTTGGAGTATTATCTGGAGAGCTCCCCAGAAGTTAAATCAATTTTAATTGAGTTTGGTATCTCTTAGGACCCCTTGTTATGGAGTGATTCATTGTGCCCTTTGCTATACAAAGCAGAGGACAGCTTGAAGAAGCCCGAGATGTGTCAGACATTTTTTTTTGGATTAAGCCTAAAGTGTTTACTAATTTCTATCATCTGCCCTAACTCCTTGTCAGATCCTCAGTGAAGGCTTGGGTCTATTTTGGAGATGGAGAGAAGAGTTAGGAAGAAACCCAGCACTCGATACGGATCATGTGTCTATAAGAGATATTACAGGGTCTTCAAAGGAAAGTGGTCCAAAGAAGATGGGCCCTATCTTATTTCACACAGCTGAAGTGTTATGAGATTCTAAGACACTGGACAGCAGTTGTTTTCATTACCTGCTTCTCCCCACTCCTCACATACAAGCTGAAGGGGGAGGGAAAGAAGGAAGTAAGGAAGACTTTTTCTAGGAGCCAAGAAGAATCCCCACAGCTTATAGAAGGTGACAGGAAATAGTAAAAGAAAGGAAGTTCGAATCTGAGATTTGTGGAAAAGAATGTAAATGCAGCTGGTCCAGACACTGCAGATTTATGTGAAAATAACCCTGGAAATTATAAAGCATAAATAATAATGTGGTGACAATACTAAACAGGCTGAGGATTTTCAGAATGCTCACAGAAGCTCTTTTCTGGTAGATGTGGCTCTTCCAACTCAACAGCCTTCATGAACTTACCTTCACTTCCTTACTATGTTCATAGAACTATTACGAGTATGGTCTGCATGGGTGGGGGAAACGGTGCCTTTTTTCCTGCTTTATGGACAGTCTGAACCACTAACCTCTGCCAGTTAAAGATACACATGTATTTCCTTCTGAGAATTACCAGAAGGTCCTGCAAGAGAGCGGATCTGAATGTATCTCCACTACTACCGGCAAGTTAAAAAACCACGTACACTGAGGAGAGAACAACAGTATATTCTTTGAACTAGGAAATATATACTTTAGATGCAAATTTTACTTCCACATGCTTAAATTAACCAACCAGAATATTGTTCAAAACCAAATGAATTGTATACTGAATTTTATTTTGTTTTATTTATTTCTAAATCCTCACCCAAGGATATTTTCTCAAATATCTTCAGATGGAGTGGGAGGAGGGAAGAGAAAGGGGAGAGAGAGAAACATTGATGTGAGAGGGACACATCGACTGGCTGCCTACCACACGACCCTGACCAGGGCGGGGGATGAACCGCAACCAAGGTATGTGCCCTTGACCAGAATCAAACGCACGACTCTGGTCCGTGGGCTGATGCTCTAACCACTGAGAAAAACTGGCCAGGGCATATACTGAATGTTAATAGACAAGCTTCTAGAGATGAACCAAAGATGCTCCGAACACAAATGTAGCACTAGGGATGGCAGTACCCGTGGAGCACCAGGACGCAAGCGAGGGGTCAACTCCACTGCGCTGGCCTCTCATCTCAGCACTGCGTTACGTTGCTCCTCTCTAGACAGGATATTCTCTCAGGGGTCAACAGAAAGCAAAAAGTGAAGTCAAGTCTAACAAAGGAGAGTGTCATTAGTTTCAAGTCAGGTATCTCTGGAAAACATTTACAGAAAACATGCTTCAGAAAAAAATTAATAATCCCACATTAGCTCTAACAATAACAAATGACTTCTGTTGAGAAAATCATCATTCTCAAGCTCAGTATTATGCTCAGATCCTGTTGTGGTAACAAACGCTCCTTTAAATGGAGCCTCTATATTCACTCAAAATTCAGCAAGACATTAATTTAAATTCTGTGCCCAAACAGACTTAAAATAAGATCAAACTTAATATAGATAAAACCTATAATGGTAATAAAAGCAAAGAGGTATCCCTGAGTTTCAAAGATAATTTATTAGTTCATAAACAAGAATATGTGGGAGGGAGAGAGGACTGCCAACTTTTGTTATTTGTCAAGGATTCCCTGAGGCGCAGGCACATGGCACTGCCCGGGCAGCTCAGAGGTCCGCAGGGAGAACTCCCTGGGAACAGGCATGCAGACCCAGTGGTTCAGGTCGCCGGCTGGGTCTCCACAGTATGTGGCAGCAAAGGTATTTTTACCAAAGTACTTCTACCTGAGCACGAATGGCTAGGGCTTCAATCCTGGGAAAGAAAATAGTGCCTACATTATAAGAGCAGTCCATGGGGATACAGTCTATACTTCAGTCCCAGTAAGCCAAGGTTGTGGGTTCAATCCCATCAGGACACATACAAAAATCAACCAAAGAATGCACAAATAGATGGAATAAGATGGAAGAAGAAATCTTTCTCTCTTGCTCTTCCCCTCTCTCCTTAAAATCAATAAACAAAATAAGATAAAAAAGAGCAGTCCACGGGGGTAGCAGGGTGATGCCATTCCCAGGTTTCAATGAAGAAAAATAAGCTCCTCTTGCTGCTAATGCTTCACACTAAGCCTCAGAGACCAGTGAACAAAGGTCGTTTATCCCTATGAACAGCGGTAGTGCAAAGAACAAAGCCAGTTCACAGCGAAAACCTGTAATAGAGAAGCCAGAAGAGTCTTTCCTCAATTGCTTTCTTCCCCAGAGCCTGTTAGCTTCTCACAGACTGCCTTACACACCATCTTTGCATTCCAGTTTTTAACAACGTTTTGGGCATGTAGTAGGTGCTGAATCACCACTAAACAGAATGAGTGAAAATGTCCCTCGTCATGTAGAAGGTAGCCGGTGTGGGAGTAAATGAGAAGAATGAGGTCGCTCTCCGTCCCGGCCAAGAAAGATCTGATGAAAAAACTAATACAGTGCATGTTGAATATGATCAATTTTATGCTGAAAACAGACACAAACCCAGTCCTATATTTTTATAGGTGTGTGTGTGTGTGTGTGTGTGTGTGTGTGTGTGTGAGAGAGAGAGAGAGAGAGAGAGAGAGAGAGAGAACATACAGGGAGGACAGGGATATGTATTACCTCTCTTGAGCAGTGGATAGAGGCCAGGTACAGATTCCAGAGAAATTTATCTTAGATCTGTAATGTGTGAAAATTTTGTCAAAAGTATACATATTATTTGTATTTATATACAAAAAATAGTAATTCTGAAGCATTTTTAAAAGAAGAATATTTTCTAAGAAGGTAGGGACAAAAACAATACTAAGTGGCCAAGCGGTCAGGGTTAGGTGGGCTGTGTCACAGGGACCATGCTTTAGGGGTGCAATAGCCTCAGGGTCTTAGAGTTACTCTCAAAATGATGTTGGTCTCCTCCTGGGTGGATCAGGAAGGGGCGGGCAGAAAAGAAAGGGCATCACCCTCTGGACTTTGTTGCTTAGCAGTAGTCATAAGGAAACCCCGAAGGGTATTCCTGCAAGCAGAGAGAAAACTGGAGGCTAATCAGACACATTGCCTATGTTTGAAAGGAGAGGCGGAGGAAACATCAGGGAATGCAGATGGAAAGCCTGAGCTGCCGCTGATGGCCTTTGGAGCATCCTAGGCAGCATTTCCTCTGCACAGGCTACTCTCTTCACTGTCACATGATTATAAAATCTATCTGAAGAACCTAATTCAACGCACAACTGCAGAATCTCAGTTGATCCAATCCTCTACACCTCTGCAGATCACCTTACTCTAGCAATTCTGAAATACAAAGTATTCTTTTCCAAGGAATATACCTGATAAATCAGACATCTTCACTGCACTCAAATGGTTATAACAGTGAGAGGCAGCAGCTTGGGAAAAACAGCAAGAGAGAGCCTCACTCACACCCAAGCAAGAATCAAACAGCGTATTAGTGATACTCAGACTGCAATTAGGGCAAGTCATTACCATCAAGATGGAATAATAGCAAGTGGCCCATACCCACCTAGGAAAGGAAAAGTAATGATGAGAACTGTTAGAGGGGTATTTAAACCTTCAAACAAAGGTTCAACTGGAATTTGACATAAGATATAAAGTAAATCCTTAAAAAAAAAAAAAACTAAGACTGAAAATAAGGTCTTCAGTAAGTGGCCTTAAAATGTGGGCTCTTGGGCTCAGCCGGTGTGGCTCAGTTGGTTGAGTGTTGTCTTGTGCATCCGAGGGTTGCTGGTTCAATTCCATGTCAGGATACATGCCTGGGCTGCAGGTTCGATCCCTGGTTGGGGTGCGTGCAGAAGGGTCAACACATTTCTCTCTCATTTTGATATTTCTCTTTCCCTTCCTCACTCTAAACATGTCCTCAAAAATGTGGGCTCTTTGGCATAAATGGAACTTTGCTATCTATCTAATTGTTGTCCTAATCCCTTTTCTTTGAACCCAGTCTGAACAGAGAAGGGACTAGGCCATTGCTACTTTATAGCAGAAGCAGGACAGTAATAGCTGGCAAAAAAAAAAATAGGGGTTCTAATTTTTAATCTCTTCCCTCCAATTATGAGAGTATTTTGTTTTTTATTTAAG